AAGTTAAAATATTCATGAGATTAAATTGCTGCTGAAGTCCAGGAAGCGGGGGTTATTTGAAGCAAGAAATTGCGAAGTATTCTCTGAAAGAATTATATCCGAAAGAACTAATAATGCTAGCAACAACAAGAATCAATAGGAGAAGCATATGAAACCTAGAAGTGAGCATTCGTGCCAAATAATTATGTTGGATATTTAGTTTGAAAAGTAATAAAATTTGATATCACATCTTAATGATGTTTCAAATATCAACAAGAAGTAAGAAATAATAACTATATTTGAAATGTAACAAAACAAAATAAATTTGACTATAGTTCTAGACTAGTACAATGAAATCAATGAATTCAAAGCACAATGCTATACACAAAAGTTTATTTTTGCTTTAATGTACAAAGTACGAAACAAAACGAAACTTTTACTAAAAGGAATGTTTACATCGTGCATATCATTCATATATATACTATGTACACACAATAGTTATTTATTTAGTAAAACATAAATCAAATTTGGCCATAGTAATCAGCAAATATAATAACACACTTAATACCAACAATTTCATATATCTAAAAGCAAAAGAAAATATTCATAAATTAAAAAATAATGAAATGGTGAAAGAATATTTAGAAGTTAAAAATACTCATGAGATTAAACTGCTCTTGAAGTCTAGGAAACCGGGGTTATTTGAAGCAAGAAATTGAGAAGAATTCTCTAAGAGAATCTTCTGTGAAAGAACCTAATAATGCTAGCAACAAGAATCAATAGGAGAAGCATATGAAACATAGAAGTGAGCATTCGTGCCAAATTATGTTGGATATTAAGTTAAATCATAAAGTTAGAATCAAGTTTCTTTATGACCAGATTAAAGCGCATAATTGACATGAGTTAATTTTTGTGATTAGCCCATATTTTTCCCTACTTTACATATTATTTTTAACTATTTCTCACAGATTTATGCTTGCAAAAAGTTTTCTGTTGATATTGTGCAGGTTATAGGAGTTGAAATGGAAAAATCCAGCGAAAATGTGACCCGAAGCGGTGTATAGGAGTTGAAACGGAAAAATCCAGCGAAACCCGAAGCGGCGTGACAATTCCATCTATCGAAGACTAGCGGCATGACCATGCCAACTTTGACAGAGTAGCTGTGTGACCACGCCGCTATCGAGCGTGACCACGCCGCTATCGAGCGTGACCATGCCGCTATCGAGCGTAACCACACCACCCCCTTTAGCAATCTAGCGTGGCCATAACAGTTTTGGGTGTGACCATTCCAACGAGCGGGAAAACACTTTAGGAAGGACATTTGATTGCCTAAGCAGTGATTCTTGATATAAAAGTGAATTTTAGGGTTTCTTGGAGAATATTCTGCGTCAAGGAGTCATTGGAGGCTGCTGGAGGTAAGGGTAGGAGAGGATTTGAGAGCTTTCCACAAGGTCTTCTTCCTCCCTAAGTGAAAACCTTGAGGGGTGAGTTCTTACTTTGTTTTGTGAGTTGTGAGAGATTTGTATGAGAGGAATGATTGTTATCATTGTGGAAAGAACAAGTTACTATATGTTTTATATGTTTTGTTTCTTATAATGAATTCCTGCATAGCTTTCCTTTCTATGGTTTTCTTGATGATGTGCGGCTAATTTCATTCTTCTTTTCTCTGTGATGTAGGGCTAGTAGATTTGATTGTGGTTTTTCCATAATGTTTTCCGTTAGCATTTTCTTGTGCTTTCATGGCCTTTGTTATTGGTTAACCTATGAACTTAATTTGTTCCTAGTCGGACCAACTAAGATGTTAAAGTATTTCATGAGCTACGACCTCTAACCGTTGTATAGTGAAAATGAATGGTTAACCACATAATTCCGAGAGGATAGACATATTCCAGTGAAATTATGCAATTATCCCTGAGAATCATAACAGTTATGTGGAATGCCATGGAGATTGACGGAGCCTCAACTTCATGGATTCTATGTTTCTTTTGACCTAGACAGCCATAAAGAGTAATATATGCCCAACTGACAACAATCACGCAGAAACATATTTAAGAAAGCCAAGATCACCACGATCTCCAAACCACAGAGGCATGAGATTTATCAATCTTGAAGGAACCTACAAATGCTTTTCTGCTACTTCTGTTTTCTACTGCCTGCATTTCCTTTATTTTTGCTAAAATCTAACAACTTAAACCATATTTGCAATCACGCCAAGTTAGGTTCACTAAATTAGTAAAGTAGAAGTTTTTCTACAGAAATATTTGTAAGACTTTCTTCGTGGGATCAATACGTGGACTTCTAAACTGCATATGACTTGATACATGCAGTTGCGTTCTACGACCGACTTACTTCGTGGTAAGTTTGGGTGCGTTAATAACACAAAGATATGATAGTGAAACAAGGCTTCACAAACACATAGTTGTGAGTTTGTAAATCGTAGCCAATCAATACACAATGATAGCACATTGCCTCGCTTTGCTCTTAAACCACACTTTTAACAATGCAAAATGAAAACATCAAAAAGATCAAATTAATATTCAATTATTATAAAGAAGTCATAATCTAAGAAAACTTTTCAAATGGATTAATTTCTAGAAGATTTGCTTAAAGTCTATAATAGGAGTGATTCCCAAAGTATTAGATATGATAAAAAAAAAGTACTTATGAAAAATCTAGTTGGTTCTTAATTTTCTTATTTTTCTTCACAAATTCCAAAAAATAACAATCTAGGAAGAGTTAAATTCTATTAGCATTTCAAAAGATTTATTAAAAATGATTTCTATAAAAAAATTTTTAATTTATAACTTAATTAATTTGGTCAAATCTAAAAAATGCATAATTCAGCACAACTAATATTTAAGCTGTTTCAGTTAATTTTTTAAATAGGCTGAATGTCCAAATGATAATATATTTCTATGGTTTGTTTGTTATGAAAAGAAAACTTTACAAAGAACCTAATAAACATTAATTTTATATTTTTCTCTTTATCTCCACCTTTGGGAACTAGTTATAGTGTCCGTATTATTAAGAAATATATTAGCATTTTAGCATTGTTATTGTCTGCATCATATAATACCAAATCATTCATTTTTTATTTGCATGATTTAGAAAATATTTTGTGCAAGAAACTTTTAATGATAATAATTAATGTACTGATGATATCAAATAAATATATAGATGATAAGGTAATGATTTGTCTAAACTTATTAAGATTTTCTAGATGAATTCTTGAAAAATTAGCTACTAGAAAAACACTATTATATAAAATCATTGAATATATTGAGATAAATGGCTACAAGTTATAATTCTCAAAATATTTTACTATCAATTTGCTTTTTAATATATTTAATGTTGTATATCATAAACCATTAGCAATTGTCTTGGTTTCCTTTCTCTCTCCTTCTTCTCTTTTAGGTTTCACAACCAAATATCATTTATAAAACTCTCAGACCATAATGCTCATCACAATTTAAAAAATTAACTACTAAAAATTAAATCTCGTTTTCCATTAAAGATGAATACCTAAGAAATCTTACAAAATGGTAAGTCTGAACTACATGTGATGATTCATTGATTTCTCCTTGAGGAATCCAATAATTATGTCCATATTAACTTTAAAAATTTCAAAAAAAATCACTTTTTGAAGTCATTTTATTTCAAGTTGGTTAGATTGATGTTACCTTCTTTAAAAGCCTTCCATCCCTGCAGGCTATTGCATCAAGAGCTGATTTTAGCACACAAGGATCTCACCTTATGGTCTTGTTATAGGATTTACTCTCAACAAACCAACTGTTGTTCGCTTTTATCACCATAATCTTATAAGTTTGTAAGACTTATATCACAATTAGCTACAAAATTATATTTGCATTAGGCTATGTTTGGGGATAGCCCTCTTAATAAAAAGCTTCTATGGCTTCTAGTTGCACGAGTCACATTGAAGATCATTTATTTGTCAAGTAGCTGTTTGCTCTATCTTTTGATATTGTTATTTCAAGTTGAGAGAGATTTGCAGTTATAAATAGGGATGCTAGAGAGATGTTAAAACAATTCCAATGGATTTCTACTTCGATGAACAACATTTTTATTTGAGACAGTTCCTTCAACTTTTCTCCAAATGAAATTGCAGATTAAGGATTTCTGGAAGATGTTAAAAATAGGGATGCTAGAAACAAGTAAGAACATAGATGTTGTAATTACATAAACTGCAACATAGATTGCTTTGTTTTTATACTATCTGCACTTATCTTTTAGCCTCATATAAAAAGAACTTGTACTTCACTAGATCAACTAAATTCATGAATTTCAAATTTATTTCCAACTCAGAAAAACCACTTCCAACCCAAATAAGAAAAAGTAACAAATATTAGGTTATGATTCTTATTAGTGCCTTTGGTATGGTAATAGAACAGTAGATATAAAAGAAAAGTTGAAATACTATCATGTATCCCGCCCCACAAATTGATTTATTTCATGGTTCTCATCAATTTTGAGCCATTTAAATCAATTATGAATACTTTCAATGTAATACAATCCTATTAAATACGGATGCTCTGAAGCATACATGATGAATATTATCATAATTTTAAAACTTAATATGCATTTGCACAATTGTTATAAGAAAATTATAGGTGAATTTATCAGTTTTGATCACTAGGTTCATGATGTGTGTAATACTATAGATTTGATAACACGAGAATCAATCAAAAGAATACTGCACTTATGTTTGGAACAAAAGCCTATAGAGCTGCATGATTTACTGGCAAGCCTGAAGTCCATGGTAATAAGACAATTAACTTTGTATTTGTTAACAACAAATAAACCCATTAAACCACATACTTCCCTCCATGAACACATAAATGATGTGCAAACTCAAAACCAAAGATGAAAGCTTGAGGCTGACAGATAAGAATGAGTCAAGAGCAGAGCTGATGCAGCTCAGACAAAATTAAAGTAAAGTAGAACAATGGATAATGTAGAAATAAACATTCTTTTTTGAGCTACAAGTAGAAACTACAACTCACAACTAGCCAACGAATCCTTAATGCCACATCCCTTGCGCTTTTATTTGGCAAAAGAGCTGCTATTTTGACGTACTTCATTATATGGCCTTCACCTGCACACCTTTAAGGTTCATACATAAAAGAATAACAAAAGTTAGCAGTTAGGAGACTATGGTAACTGAAATATACCAAAATTCAGAAAGCTAACATGGAGAAAGCATTCTGAAGGAAGCTAAACAAAAAAAACAATGCACCATTCAAACACTTGACAACATAATCTAAAGACACAAATGGAGCTTCAAGGGTTGTTTGCGTCAGTCACATCCGCAAAATTATTTCATACTTTTTAAAATAATATTTTAAAAATGCAATCATGATCTGCTTTTTCAAACATTCGTGTTAGTCAAATCAGCCACATCTCATGTCTATCATCTAAAGAATCAAACTATTGTGTTGTAACATAAATAGTATGGACATCTGAATATAATAGCATTAAATAAAAATAAATAATATTTAGCAAATAAGCATCTTAATAACACTACAATCTCAATAACCTTAAACGAAACAACCCTTTGGAGCAACGCTTAAGCAAACCTCTTACAACAAAACAAACAAAATCAATGGAGAATAACATAGACTTCACGAACCCAGAAAGATCCATGATTATGCAAACATTGCTAAGAGCGGTAAAGAGCACACCTGATAAGTCCTTCATTTAAGATGTTCTGTTCTTCATATGTCCAATCCACAGCCAACCTACCGTCATGCTTTAGACCACGAACCCTTTGTCGACAACTGCTGCCAAATGATGTCCCGGTATTAAAAGTTGCAGGCGAATTACCAAAAATTTCTGGACTTACAGATGGAAAATTCTCAAGTGCGATAATATTCCCAGATGAGCTACACATGACACCAGAATTCATTTCGGCTGTGCTATTCATCACATCAGTTTGCAAAGAAAGCACGCGGAAATTATAATCCGGCGAAGGATCAAAGTCATTCGCAAAGCCTATGTTGGAATCAGCTGCCATCTTCAGTATTTACGTCAAATGTTATGAAAATCTCTTGTCCAGTCTCCCACCAGCCAAATTTTACAGCTCAGCGCATTAAAAAAAAAAGAAAAAATTTCATCTCCCTCAACAGCCACTTCATACAAGTTCCAACATCAAGCACCAAAATTCCCATTCACCATTCAGAGCACTATATTACTGTCAGTATGCAATCAGCACGGAAAAACACAATCCGTATTAATTACTACCCCATTCCATCATTGATAATCTATCAAGAAAAGCCCCACAAATCTCTAAAACCCTACACCGAGAAACCACATGAGGCATAAACAATTCATCTCTTTGCTCGAACAGGAAACCAAGAGCGAAATATTAATTAAACGTATCAACTAAAACAGGAAACATGATCAGCAGTCCACTCAAACTTCTCCTCCAACTCCACATAATACTCTGATAAAGGTATAAAATCCACTGGGTGCAGGACGAAGTTCGACGAAGCTCAAGGCGACGCCGCCATTTCCAGACACCTATGTTCTCTTCTCCGTTAATTCGCCAACAGTCTCTCCATTCTCTTGGCTCTCTGTGTTACCTATTCCTTCTTCTCACTCCCCCTACTCCGCTTCGGCTTTCCTCTCGCCTTTCTGAGAGTAGCCCTGCCACCGCTCTTTACGCTACACTTCCACCTTTCACCGCCTTTAGTAACGAGGAAGAGAAGAATGTGGAAAATGACCCTTGTTGCGTTCATAACTACTAGAATGCCATTTCACTGCCGCGCGGAGCAACGGCCCAGCCGATTATGGAATCTTGGTACAATCACCGCGTAGTGCATAAAGAATATTTTTTAGCCTACAGAATCGGTTTTATTTATTTTTTTTTTCGAAATTTTAATATAAAATAAAAATAGAATTACAAGTATATCATAAAATTCTGATGTATCTTTATGTCTATTAATTAAAATTTTAAAATTTATTTTTATTATATTTAAATTTTTACACACATAAAAATATTATTAATATTTTTTTAAAAACAGAAATATTATTTATATTTATATTTAAATGTAAATATGATATTAAAATCTAATTATTAAATGTAGATTTTTAAAATATAAATTATTTGGTATATATATATAATTTATTTAAATAAACACTATCTATTGGGAGAGCACCAGTTTTAATCAGATTCCCTTTTGATAACTGAGTTCCTCAGGCAAAGAGAAAAAAATCCATAAAATCAGTTGCATATCTTTTTAAATTTTGTGGAGAAAAAAAATCAGAAAATCAGATTCCCTTCTGATAGTAGCTCGGTGGCATTGATGCATGGGCCTACTTGTGGAGAAAAATTTGCATACGAAGATCATATGCAGAGTTGCATGCGATCTCCAATCACAACCATATATTTTTAAATTTTTTTTTAAAAAATTAATAAAAGTGGGACCCACTGCCATACGGGCTTTGTTTTGGATGAGTTTTGATGTGCTGCTGTGATTGAAGAGTGTATACAGCTTTGCGTACGTTCTCCGTATGTAATTTTTTTTCCCTACTTGTGAGGCGTGGACTCGTCGTCGAAGCGAATAGGTAGGAGAGATTTGTCTTGGAAAATATTATTTTGAAAATGTTGAAATACTTTCGAAAGTGCTGTTGGTTAACTAAAGGAGAAAATGATGTTAATTTTTTTTTATCAAAGGATTAAAATAAGAAGTAATGTTGGTTTTGCTGAATAGCTTTATGTTAATGATGATTATATTCATCCTCAAAAAGAGATTTCTAATGAACTCATTTTGTTCTTTAGCTCCTTGCTCAATAGTCATGTCGATCATCTTATTAACTTTGGTGATGATTTTCTATTAATAAACTCTTACTTCTTTGCGCTGCGATTCTTTAATTTATGATGTTAAATCTTAAAATGTTATGTGGATCAAGCCCAAGAAATAGGGCATTGGTCAGATGAGAGAAAAGAGAGTGAGAGAAAAATGAGACCCAATTAAAATTAAATCTCTGAGAATTTATCATTTAAGATCTGAAATTATCCTATGGTACATGCTAAAGGAATAGATCAATACGAAACTCAGAAAGAGAGAGAAATAGAGAGTTGACATTAGGGTTGCCCAAAGTGGGGCAAAGTGGAGGCATTCCCCGAGCTCTCAGACCCATTTTATATATAAGAATAAGTGTTGCAAGAGAAGGGGAGCCCCAAAATGGCCTCCTCCTTCTTGTACATAAAAGATCATTCTATATATGAGGGTCTAATTGTACAATTATGGAAAGAGGGAATGGTTATAGTAACCACCCTAAATGCAATTAATGTGAAAAATTTAATATCAGATTTGCATTACAATTTGAGTGTAGTACAACAATGCGTTTGATTTCAGCAAACGGACTACAATTGACTTATGAACTAAAGGTCAGCAGATGGATTGAAGGTCAACAAACTAACTATGGTCAGGCGACAGACTAAAAGTTGACAAACATATCAAAGGTTTGTATAAGGACTAAAGGTTGGGAGATGAACAACGGTTGATAGATTGACAGAGGTTGGCCGACAGGTTTTGGTCTGCAAACAAATTGCGGTCATCCAACGAACAGGGGGGTTGGCCAAATGAAGTGGTAGACTGGTCTCTGCTACCATCAAATCTTGTCTAGATCTGCATGGGCACTTTTTGGTCATGCATATCAATAGTCCCCTTTTTGTAAAAAATACCCTCCTATTTATATGTCCCAGAAGGGTATAGAAAATTACATGATTGTCTCTCCTTCAATGAGAATGTTACAATCATTTATGAGCCATTACAACTTCACATATTTGTAACTAACTTAGACATAATTTTTACATGTAATCGCGGTTGATTCCATTTTTTTAACTGTATTTGACATTATTTAGTGTTTGTAATTATTTTGTCTGATCACTTTGCGTTCATTCAGTCGGCCAAGAGTTGATCGGCTGACTGAATGACTCATAGTCGCCTTCTTCGAAGAAATTCATTATAAAGGATATGTATCATAATCTAACAAAAGCCTTCATTTGATCAATGAGTATACATAAAATGAATCATTTATGAGAAGTTGTTAATTTTTCTAATTCCACATGTCGGTTGAGTAGTCATCGACATGGAGGCATGTTGTTCTTTGGTTCAGTTAGACTTTCGTTCATTCGGCCTAAGATTCAGCTAACTGGTGCAATGATGAATAATTGCACTTCCAATTCTTTTCTCATGTGATTCTTTGGATCTCCTCAAGATTCATCTAACCATATTTCTAATGTACATTATTAGTTCTCTGATTCTCCTCTTTGAAAGTGACAACAACCATATGAATATGAGAATTAAATAACATAACTGTTCACCTCAAGAGTAATAAATATTACTAACAATTTTTCTCTTCATTTCTCAAATTTTTTATCATTTAGTTATTTATACATGTGGATGGTGATGTCAGGGATCAAGAGATGAAGGAGTGAAGAAGCGCTAATGAAGGCTTTTGGGCTCCCAGCTTCAAAGGCTTGCCCTTCTGGAAATGAGAGGAAGAAAAAACCTGAAAGTTCTTGCCATACCTCAAAGCAGAGAGCTAACAAGGAAGATTGGCCAATTGAGAAAGGCTGAGAGATGAGAGGAAGATAGGTAGCACCAAAACCCTACCAAAAGGGTCTAGGCTTGAGGGATCTATATATATTAAACAACTGATGATGAAGAAGCCGCGGGTAGAAGGGGTCAAAGAATCATTTGACTCATTGCCATTGATAAAGATAAGGATTAAAAAAATAAAGCATATTTTGGATGCACCTATTTTAGCTCTCGAGCCACTCTACAAAATCTCGGCTCAACTGCCATCGCATGAGCAGGAGCAAAAGGTGACGGTTGTTCAGGCTCCAACACCGAAGTTCATTCTGATTTAACCTCTGGCTGAGGAGGTTGTTCAGGGTAGCACTTCACATCCAACAGAGGATCCGGTTCAATTGGAGGCTGTCCAAGGTGATGCCTCACCAATGAAAAGCGCCCCTCTCCCACTTTTGGTTGAAGGGGGTGTCCAGGGTGGTGCTCCTCCTCTCACTGCCAAAAGTTTTTGTATGTTAGAGTTAGAGCGCGTTATTGGTAACCTATATTCTTATTAGATCCTTTAATTTATTCTTGTAACACAAAATTTGATGTTGTAGAGGGGACCATGGAGATCATTGACTCCCAACCAATAAGGGTTGAGCATCTTCGCAAGTTAGGGGCACCTGCTGGTCCTTCTGTCCCTCCGTTGCTGAAGTGGTGTCTGTCCCACCACCTTTTCTGCTCCAGATCCCCCTTCAGCCGATCCAAAGATGGAAGTGAATGACTAAAGGGGGTACCTTCAGTCACTGGTTTAGCACATGGATGAAGCTATGGACTCTTTTGTCTAGGTTGTAGGTCTTCACAAAGAGGCCACTAAATCAGATTTGAGGGAGGGAATGGTGGTTCTCTATATTGGTATGGAGGTTCTTTAGATAGAGGTGGAAAATATATAGGGTGAAATGACAAAATTTTAGGTAACCATCTTAATTTCTAGAGTCTGATTGGGGGATGAAAAAAATAGAAAAGTATAATTTGGGGGGGGGGGGGGCGTTTTTACAT